GTTGCCCTACAAACAAAGAATAGCTGCTGCTTATATACAACTAATCCACCTTAGTCATCAGACACTTTTTGAGCAGCCATTTTTATATTCGCTTCAATGAGCTCATATGCAATCATATAAAGTTGGATTTTAGTAGAACGAGATCGTAAAAGTGCTTGAAAAGCTTATGATAAAATTCAAATGTTCATGTTGCAGTAAAATTAAAAGGCTTTTATTATTACGATAATTTGTGTTTACTAGCACTCTCTATTCTGATAAAAAAACTAAATGGCCCTAAAATTTTTGGTCATGGCAAGCCTTTGCGAAGAGCCTTTGTAAACTACATTATCTTATGTGGTCCAAACTGCTATCAGATAGAAGTTTGAGTAGTTGTTTCTAAGGATGTAAAAGGCTGCCATCGTTCCATATTCGAAATAAGTGTCCAAACTTGTTCACATCTCAGAGCCTGACACGGAAATCATCGTGTTTCCTAAGACATCTTCAAATTACGCCAAGTTTTCTTCATTTTATTATGATGGAACTCAGTTGATAACCCCATAGTCGAACTGTCGCCAAGTTTCGCAATTCTACGGGGCTACTGCATACGAGGGTCACCATCCTCAGAAAGTGTTTATAATGGAGTTCGTTTGTCCTCTAAATGGTGGCTGCACAGATGCATACCGCAGAACAGAATGACAAATCGCCTTATTCAAACAGAAAACCCATCAATGATGAAAGTGGTCAGCACCACGACTGCTCGAAGACGCAGGTTTAACAGTTTATCATTCCCTTTCTACTGATTCTTACCCAGCATGGAATTCCGGTACTTAGGGATTCTCACTTCGCATCTTCAAGGCCAAAATGCCTATGACATGCGTTCGTGTAATTACCCGTTCGTCATCAGGTTTAGTGAGTAAGTAAGTACAAGAACGACGCAGAAATCATGTTTGTCTGCATCCTGCAGGTCGGAAACGAACTTACCAGTGGACATGAGAGGTACAACTTGCTATCGGTCAGTGAGAAGAAGGTCAAGTTGAAGAAATAGCTTGGAAGTAGAAGCCTTCACCTAGCATGCAGTATGAAGAAGCGCCCATGACGGCAGCAAAAGCAGTCGCCCGAGCGAAACCTCATTCCCTTAACTGTTCGACGAGGTTTTGGAGTCAAAGTTTCATACGGCAAACATTGTATGCTGGCAGACCATTCGCTTCCAAGACGGAAAAACTGTCCAACACTCCTGAAAGACGACAACTTATCGAGAAAGAGGACACACCTCAGCAATGAAGAGAGTGTTCTGAGGAACTCGTTAGAACTCGCCGAAAAGCTATAGACAACGGATAATAGTCTTTCAGTAGATGAATTCGAAGAAGTGGTAGAAAATTGAAAGTAGCAAGCCTGTTTCAATTTGGAAAACGGAAATTGTGGCCCCCCTATTCAAGAAAGCAGACCGTGGGGGAGTGCTCAGGTGACTGGGAAATTGTCTGATTGAGTTCCTTGGGAAACGCCTATGGAAAAGTGCTAGAAAGGTAACGCGAATAACAAACTCTTAGATACAAGAAGATCAGTGTTACTTCAGGACTGGTTGAACAACCTGTCCTCAGATTTTTTTTCTATGCCATATTGTTGAGAAATCGTGGGAGTTCGCCAATCGGGTGCGCATGTGTTTTGTCGACCTAGAAAAAGTCCATGACCGGATTCTATACAACAGCCTGTGGTCATGCCTTCGAGGTTACGGGATAGATGGCCAGCTGCTAAGGGATTCTGATAGCAGGTGCTGTGTCGGAGTTAATGGCGTTAAGTCGAAACCATTCAGTGTTCGCACTGGTCT